GGAACCTGGCTCAAAGAGATGAGCTCGCCTCAACTGTTAAGCTCGCCTGATTTGAGCGGTTCGCCGAAACTGGGAACCTGGCTCAAAGAGATGAGCTCGCCTCAACTGTTAAGCTCGCCTGATTTGAGCGGTTCGCCGAAACTGGGAACCTGGCTCAAAGAGATGAGCTCGCCTCAACTGTTAAGCTCGCCTGATTTGAGCGGTTCGCCGAAACTGGGAACCTGGCTCAAAGAGATGAGCTCGCCTCAACTGTTAAGCTCGCCTGATTTGAGCGGTTCGCCGAAACTGGGAACCTGGCTCAAAGAGATGAGCTCGCCTCAACTGTTAAGCTCGCCTGATTTGAGCGGTTCGCCGAAACTGGGAACCTGGCTCAAAGAGATGAGCTCGCCTCAACTGTTAAGCTCGCCTGATTTGAGCGGTTCGCCGAAACTGGGAACCTGGCTCAAAGAGATGAGCTCGCCTCAACTGTTAAGCTCGCCTGATTTGAGCGGTTCGCCGAAACTGGGAACCTGGCTCAAAGAGATGAGCTCGCCTCAACTGTTAAGCTCGCCTGATTTGAGCGGTTCGCCGAAACTGGGAACCTGGCTCAAAGAGATGAGCTCGCCTCAACTGTTAAGCTCGCCTGATTTGAGCGGTTCGCCGAAACTGGGAACCTGGCTCAAAGAGATGAGCTCGCCTCAACTGTTAAGCTCGCCTGATTTGAGCGGTTCGCCGAAACTGGGAACCTGGCTCAAAGAGATGAGCTCGCCTCAACTGTTAAGCTCGCCTGATTTGAGCGGTTCGCCGAAACTGGGAACCTGGCTCAAAGAGATGAGCTCGCCTCAACTGTTAAGCTCGCCTGATTTGAGCGGTTCGCCGAAACTGGGAACCTGGCTCAAAGAGATGAGCTCGCCTCAACTGTTAAGCTCGCCTGATTTGAGCGGTTCGCCGAAACTGGGAACCTGGCTCAAAGAGATGAGCTCGCCTCAACTGTTAAGCTCGCCTGATTTGAGCGGTTCGCCGAAACTGGGAACCTGGCTCAAAGAGATGAGCTCGCCTCAACTGTTAAGCTCGCCTGATTTGAGCGGTTCGCCGAAACTGGGAACCTGGCTCAAAGAGATGAGCTCGCCTCAACTGTTAAGCTCGCCTGATTTGAGCGGTTCGCCGAAACTGGGAACCTGGCTCAAAGAGATGAGCTCGCCTCAACTGTTAAGCTCGCCTGATTTGAGCGGTTCGCCGAAACTGGGAACCTGGCTCAAAGAGATGAGCTCGCCTCAACTGTTAAGCTCGCCTGATTTGAGCGGTTCGCCGAAACTGGGAACCTGGCTCAAAGAGATGAGCTCGCCTCAACTGTTAAGCTCGCCTGATTTGAGCGGTTCGCCGAAACTGGGAACCTGGCTCAAAGAGATGAGCTCGCCTCAACTGTTAAGCTCGCCTGATTTGAGCGGTTCGCCGAAACTGGGAACCTGGCTCAAAGAGATGAGCTCGCCTCAACTGTTAAGCTCGCCTGATTTGAGCGGTTCGCCGAAACTGGGAACCTGGCTCAAAGAGATGAGCTCGCCTCAACTGTTAAGCTCTGCTTCCCTTGGACCGTTTGAATGAGGTTGCTGGAGAGCTTCAGTTCGCAGTAGAAGCTCGGGGCAATGTAGTTCAGGTCTGCTTGGTTCGTCGGCGATCGGAGCCCGGAACTAGGCAGCAGTGCTGTAATGCAAGGACTTGCTAACAGCTTGGTCTCAACTCTTTTTTCTCCAAGTTTTGCGACCTCTCTTCCATCGTGCTGGAAGG